CCTATCTATCTATCTATCTATCTATCTATCTATCTATCTATCTATCCATCCATCCATCCATCCATCTATCTATCTATCTATCTATCTATTCCTAACAATATCTATCTATACCTACCTATATCTATAGCTCTCTCCCTCTCTCTAATCTCTATCTATCTATTCATCTCTCTCTCTCTCTTGTCCTATCTATCATACCTATTCCTATCAATCTTGATCTCGCTCTCTTCCTCTCTCTCTCTCTCTCTCTCTCTCGCTCTCTCTCTCGCTCTCTCTCTCTCTCTCTCTCTCTCGCTCTCTCTCTCGCTCTCTCTCTCTCTCTCTCTCTCTCGCTCTCTCTCTCGCTCTCTCTCTCTCTCTCTCTCTCTCGCTCTCTCTCTCGCTCTCTCTCTCTCTCTCTCTCTCTCGCTCTCTCTCTCGCTCTCTCTCTCTCTCTCTCTCTCTCGCTCTCTCTCTCGCTCTCTCTCTCTCTCTCTCTCTCTCGCTCTCTCTCTCTCTCCCCCCACCAGAAATAAGAAACACATAATAAATCAGGGCTATGGGCTGGTCATGAGGTGAAAGGAAAGGTGAGGGAAGTCCCTGGAGGTCAGCAAGGTTACCAGAACTAGTATCCCCATTGGAAGATTTTGCATCTATTCTTGTTCGGCTGACATCCCAAAAATATAGGATTGTATTTCATTTTTAATGATAATGGTCACCAGGACAAAAGATTAGAGACAGTGAATCTAGCTGGAGGGGACACTGACAGCAATAAAAACCTGACAGGGGTTCGCCATCTCCACTCAATCCAAAGCTAAAAAAAAAAAAAATTGGATTCAGTTGCATGTTAAAACTGAAAACTATTGAGATTCCGGATATCTGTCTCTTGTAATTCTCTAACAGCAGACTGGGAGATGGAGAGGGAGGGGCAGGAGACTGGCGGCCAAAGAGGTGTGCTGCATGTGAATGTGTTGACCAAAGCATGCTGATAGTAGGAGAAAATGGAGTGAGCAAAGGATGACGTCACACGGCTTACGCTGTTCTTAACTGTCAGAGAGGAGCCCATTGTATACCTTGAATCTAAGTGGTGTCATCAGGACCACTATTAGGAATCATGGGACCCCGTACCGCCTACCCAACTACCAAGACCCTATGCGACAGCATTTGGAATGTACACTCTTCGGTCTGCTCCTGCTCTACATCTTGACACCATTTGCCATGGTCCCAGGCACCCCAGAGGAGCAGAGGGCCCTAAAAACCACTGGGAGGGGGGGGGGGTCTACACAGGGAGGAGTGACACAATTGCAGAATAGTATAAGTCAACTCATTTGGATGGCTGTACAGTTGCCCAGATCACTTGTACTTGACATGCTGCCCAGGCATGGGAGTTCTCATTGGGGGAAGCTATGTGGCCAGCTCCTTATAGGGGCCTGGACCTTGTACAGGATGGCTAGCTGTACTCCCCTATTGGCAGCCCTGGGTGTCATCCCCATGGCTGTGGTGTGTGGCAGAGCGGTGTAAAACAGCAGGACTGGATGGACAGAAATACAAATCATTTGGCAGGTAAAACATCTCTCTTCTATGCTTTCCATCTGATTGCCTGGAGTTCAGCTTTAAACCTGATCAAACCTTGATTTGTTTACTGTATGATAACAGCCTTATGTATTTAGACTTTAGCATTTCACAATTAGTGTTTAGTAAAACATGAGTCATTGTTTGCGTTTGTTCTGATAATCAGAATGCATTACGCTCATCGTTAGTTGGCATCGCAAACGCATTTTAAAATACATTGTAATTGTCGGAATGCAAAGCACGGAAAGGTAATTATGCCCGTAGAGTGTGGAATTCCATATCATCTAAAACGTTCCGTCCTTCTAATTGATATCGGAGATGTTGGAACGTTTTCTATCGGTATTGTTCTATTTTCCAGGGACTCCAGCGGTGAGATCTCTGCTCCAGTGTTTTCCATATCTGAAAACCTTGCTTTAAGATACGCCTCGGACCAGCAACCATAGTGTACACGTGGCACCCCATGGAACCTGGAAGATGGATAGTCTCATGTCCACAATATGATTTTATATTTATAAAATATAACTGTAGTAACATTTGTGAAATGCTATCTAATATCTAGTGTTCCCAAAGCTTATTGTAGTATTTTTTGTAAATAAATAATAATATTATGTAATAAAAGAAAAAAGAATAAATGAGCTCAAAACACCTTAGCATGCAAATTCACAGAGCTTCAATAACAAAAGAAAAAAAAGCAAAACTCTCAAACGCACTGACACTGACCAAGCAGCAGCCATTGTGGCCTGTTGGGAGAGGATACCAGACATGTTCATATGTTTGGAGATGGTGGCCTTTACATTAAAGCTTGCCTACAAAGGTCAGGTGGTCATAATAATCTGGCCATTCAGTGTATATATATTTTTTAAAATTTACCTGTCTAACTGTCCCTGACCTGCTCCTTTCATTCATTGGATTTTAGTTCTTTCAATCATGGAGGTTTGGCATCACATGTGGGCGTTACCTAGGGTGGTCTGCATGCAAATACAGCTGGCCTAGGAACACCCACTGCTCCAGTCTGACATCCACCCATTCAGGCCTTGTTCACACCAAATGCAGAGCAGATCTGCATGAGTTTCTGCACACGCAGTGCAGTGGGTTGTGCCACGTTTTTGCAGCTTTTTTTTATGTGTTCCGGGCCGTTTTTGGTTAAAAAAATATATATATTTTTTAGGGCTGTTACTGATTAAAATTTTCGTGTTTGATTATTTGAATTTTTTTAAAATCGATTAATGTTGGCACTCATGCAGAAAGTTTCAAAAAATGTAATCGATCAAAAAGATTAACGATTAATCGAGAAATTAATCGTTAATTTGCACAGCCCTAAATATATTTTTTAGTTTAAAATGGTCTTTCAGTGCGTTCCAGGGCGTTTGCATGCGTTTTTGATGTGTTTGCATGCGTTCCAGAGCAGGTAATATAGGGTCTGCTGCAGTTTTTTACCTGTTCTGGACCTGCTCTGGAACTGAACGCTGCGATGTGAACTGGAGCTAAAAATACCATTGGAATACATTGGACGCAGTTTTGCTCCGGTCTGTAACTGCTCTGCTCCTGGAACGCGCTTGGCGGGAACAAGGCCTAAGGCATTTTGGTGTTTGCATAACTCCTCCAAAGAACCAGCCCTCTGCTTGCATCAGGGCACTTGAAGCTATGTACAGCACCCTGCTAGCCCCTCCCACCAGACATTATCTGCTTTTATTGCAAAGAGAAGCTCAGAGACCCAGTGATGACATCAACGGTATAAGGTATACATAAGATATGTAATGAAAACAGAAAGGTGTTATTTAAAAAATTTCATTAGCATGTTGATAAAGGGGGAGGGAGGAACCAGGAAAGGAAAAAAAATGTAAATAGCAAATTTCACCGGCTGCTGGATACTAAGGAGGGACCCGGGGAACAAAAAAGCCTGCAGGCACATCATGGGGCAGCGCTGGGTCCTTGGCCATGAGGACCCAGCAAACCGCCTGAGCACACAGGCGCGCAGTCTCCCACACACTGGGGTGTTTTTATGCAGCCTCCCCCACCAGGAAACAGTTGAAGACCAGTCAGAAGAGGTGATGGTAAATAATTCACTAAATTGATTATTATTTGTAGCCCAACTGATGGACATGTTGTATGAAATACTGCTGGTATTAGTAGCGCTCTGTAGCAGGTGCCATTCTGCATTGCAGCAATGCAGAATGGCACCCTCTGTAGAGGACTACAAATCTCAGCAGTACTGTATACAGCAATGCTATTGTTGAATAAAGTATTACTGGTAGGTCCGCAATCATTGGAGGAGGCATTTTTCGAAAGATTCGGTTGCTGTGAGGTCCTGTCAGAGCACAATTAAAACCAGACAAGCGAAAGGTGCTAGTTAAAATATTTATTAAGAACAGTGTCCACAGGAGCAAGCAGAATCATGAACCGGAACAAGCCAGAGTCAGGAGCCAGAGTGGGTAGTCGTCCAAGCTAGGTAAGGAGCACAGAGATCGGCGACGTCAGGAACAAGCCAGGAGCAGGAGCCAGAGGAGAACGTCAGCCAGGATCGGTTCATACACAGAATCAGGATACTCAGAGCAGCAGGAAGGCCACGCAAGGGCAAGGTCAGACTGGACTGAGTGGTTTATATATAGTGAGTGGGGTGACATCATCATTCAGAGACATGAAACTCCCATTTGACTCTCTCAGATGATGTTCTCCTATCTGGCCACAGGAGGGAGCTTGGGAGTAGTGAGCAACGTTCCAGAGTCTGTTCAGGCAAAGAAGGAAATGCTCCTTTGTTCCTTAGGTCCGCCACTGGGCAGTATACCACTTTTGTATACAATTTTTAGAGGTCTATATATCCAACCAAAAAGAGGAACAACTCAGGAGGAAAGGAGGACAGCGGAATTTGGTTTCAGAAGAAGGTCAGTCCCTCCAAATGAGACAGTTGGGATGTTATGTAGCTGAAACATGACTCTAAATGACCGCACAACAATTCATTTGCTCTAAGAACTGTGCTCCCAATAAAATGAAGGCATAATATTGTATACATTGAGGCTATCAAGTGT